GGGGGGGGGGGGGGGGGTGGGGGGAGATCTTTTAAAAGTATAAAGGTTAGGGACACATGAAAGAAAGGCATTCCAGCATAGAGAGGGTATCTGGTTGGAACAAGAAACCTTAATAAAGACAAAGATGAGTACTTTTTCCCTCACCTACGTAGAAGGGATTGCAAAGAAGTGTTTAGTGCATTTACAAAGAACAAGATGAGATGTTAATGTTCTTTGTATTCATTTGTAATAGATGTGAAATCATTAGATGACATTGCCACTTTAAGCATATCCCTCAAAGAACAGCATTTGCAGAACATGTAACTCACTATCGCTCACTAGGAAAAATAAATGAATGAATCGCTCTGCTCCTTCCGTTAGCTGGAGAGGGATGTATAATAGCATAAAACTTTTAAAGAAAAATATGGAAATGTGGTTTAAAACTTCAGTTTTAGGTGATATTCTGGAAGTATTTCTTAATAGGTACATATATTTGCCTGATGATGTCTATAAAAATTAAAACATTTATTTCAGTTACCAAACCCACAAAAGGTTTCTATCGGTGAGAAAGCAAACTTTCTTGGAAGATAATAAAGTAAAATTTGGTATCACAGGCAGTACAGGTACCGTAAATCATCACCTACTAAAAGGAGGTAGAGCTCAGGGAACTGGCCCTCCGGACCGTCGGGGCGCCCCCTGCTGCCCCTTCAGGCAGCAACACACGCAAGAGCTCCCGCAGGTGGGACATCCCTTTCCCAACTATAGGCAAGGGTTTCTCCCTAATCGGGGAGGGCATATAAATTTAAATGACAGGACACTGTTAAACAAAGCACTCCCCATACCTCTTCTCAGTGATTCTACCTGCAATAACCAGTCACCTGGTTATGTCTCTTCAGAGACATTTTCATAGCTCTCTTATTCAAAGGCGTATTTTGAGCACTTTCCTTTCAGAGAATCATAGAATACCACAGGAACTAGAGTACCAATTGTTAGGTACAGTCTAGGAACATCAAAACGTCTTAACGAAGCGAGGGGAGAATAGAGTCTTCTGGAGTGAGGGAATGAAAATCAGCGTACAGCACACCTCTCAGCAACTCACTGATACGTAGCAACCCGCTGAGCTGAGAAGTCTCTGTGGCTGTGGCGAAGGGGCTATTTTATTCTGCGGTGTGTGAATGTAGCACACTGGATGCCAAATGACTGCAAATCAGAAAGAGCTGATGATTCCAGTGAAACATGTAACTCAGCAAGTGGTAAAAAATATTAGAAAAACAGGATACAGTTTTTTCATTAGATTAAAAGTACAAGAAAATTATTTCCTGAGCAAGCCATATAGCACCTGTTAAATAAAGATCCTGGATTTGTTCAAGAAATGTGAAAGCAAACTCCTACGCTTAGGGATAAGAACTTCTCTAACCTCGTTCTCCAAGCTGGCATGAGAGCAAATCCACTTCCTCTGACATCACTATGCACAAGGGCAGTGTATTTGGTAATAAGGGCCTGCTTACAAATAAATGGTAATTTTTAAGATGGAAGAGGAAGAAAGAAACCAAAGTAAAAAGTTATCGGGATGAAAGTCCAGGCTAAAAGTTGGAAGATCGGAACTCTGGTTCAAGTTCCCAGCTTGAGTTCTTAACCAGCATGGGCCTCAGGGTCTGCTTTTGTTAACACAGGGATGGGGCTCAGGCCAAAGTCGTTTAACATGAGTATACAGGTCTGTGATCTGATGAAGAAAATACGCAATGACTACCTCGTTCGGTAGGAGCAAACTGTCTTCTGTTTTCTTCCACCAAGATTTGAGTTAATCACGATTCAGGGTTTCCCTGCCCTTCCTTCTGCAAATATTTATTATGCACCTACAGTGAGTTAGGCACTATTTATAAGTGAGGATTCTGAAAGGTTTCCAGAAAAGAGAAGCATGAACTGAGAAAGCTGATGACAACGTACGTTAGCCCTAAGTGCATGTGAGCGCTTTTATCACCAAGTCAGGAAATTTGTTTTTAAACAATACCTTAGAAAATGAAGGTATATGCAGATAGGTGATGAAGGGACCCCAGATTTTAACCATTTCCCACCAGATAGGGAGCCTCACAGATTTACTGACCACGTGAGGCATGAAGTGACTTCACTGACCATGTGAGGCATCGGTCAATTTCATAAATCTTTCAATACTGGCTTCAAATCAATTCTAAGAGCTCAGCGGCAAAGAAGTGACCGTCTGCAGGGAATCCCACTTCCTCAGAATGGCATACATCTTTTAAACACCTATTAAAACAGATCAGAAACTAGGGCTTTGCAAGCCGGCGAACTCTGGTTTGATGGAAAGGGACCTAGAAATTACTCTAAAAAAGAGAAGAGTTAAACTCGTTCTTCATTGACAAAGGCTTATTTGGGTTAACTGATTGCCAGATGGCAAGAAAATGAAAATAATTTAAAAGCAATTATGGGAAAGGACTAAGATTTGTTAGATGATTTGCAATTGCTTTTTGAAACCTGCGCTCAACTTTCAAATGGCTAAATTTTGAAATGTGACTAACTGAATTATACTTCCTACATAAAGATGATGCTAATAGGAAGAAAAGGGTTTTCAGTAGGAATAGCTCACAAAATCTAGCCAGAAAACATTTACACAACTTCAATAAGAGTAAAAACTAAAAAAGACCATGGCTTGATTTTTTAAATTGAGTTATCAGGTGCCACCCTCCCCTCCATGGGCAACAGAGCGTGTGCCCCCCCGCCCCCCCGCATGCACACCTGTTCCCACGAGCCCATGCATGCACACACACACATTCTGACCTTTCTTCACCATTCTGCCAGCCACTGTAAACTGGGTGGAGTCGTTGGCCGCTCCTTTGCCTTTTGTCTTCCAGGCTTCTTCTCTTACAGTGATGAGGTGCTTCCTCTCTTCAATAGTCATCTGGCTCTCTCGACTTTCTGTGACCCGCTGTTTACGAAGTGTGCCAAGGAGAAAACGGGACAGGGAAAGGACAGAGCTGTGAATTTCAGCATGCAGCATTCTGTGAGCCAAAGAGCAGGCAAACAAACAGGAGCGCTACACTGTCCAAAAATGTCCGTAACCGTTCTAGCTGAGATAGGTTTGGCATCCTAACTTCCAGCTTGGGTGAGAGATCACCATCAACAACACTGAAACTTTAGGTTAAAACTTTGATTTTTTTTTTTCACTCATTCGTTTGGAATACTGGAACACCAAAATGATACCTTGTACAAATAAACAAAAATAGAGACTCTCTTCATGCCATCAATTTAAAAGTTGCTCAGTTTTACTGAGCTAGCTAAACTCAGCTGATTAGGAAATTTTATCCATCTATTCTCACAAAAGACATGGTCAATCCAGAAAATCTTACCCACGTCCGTTCACGAGGACCACGGTCAAGTATAAAAGAGAGAAAGCTGAGTATAGGAATAAAGTGTGCTACAAGAAGGTTTTCTGGAAATCAGCATGCTTTCTCCCAGACAACTCTGTTACGTGGGCAGTTAGGGAAGCAGGTCAGCCCCCGAAAGGGGTGTCTGGGTCACAGTGTGTCTGACACTGAGGATGAATCGTGCTATGGACGTAACCTACATACAGACTAACATCTCTACCTAAAAACTGCTTTCAGAAGCTTCTAAAGGGGTTCTGGAGATACCTGCCTCTTCAGTTTCCAAGGCCTTGGTGAACTCATTTGGCCTGGGAGGAAGAGGCTTTGGGGACTGAGTGAGGGGAGGAGAGGGGAGGAGCGAGGACGGGACTGGGCTGAGGTGAGAGGAGGAGGTGCAGGAAGAGGTGGAGGATGGAGTGCAGTGGAGGGGAAGGGGCGTGCCAGGGACAGAGTGTGGATGACGTGGTGGGCGACACCAGGGTGGGAGGCCCTCAACGCTGTTAGGACAGAGTTTGCTTTCCCTCCTCCTCCATGCTGTCCCTCCTCTCATTACCAACCCCTCTCAGAGTTCCTTGGAATTAGGGTCAAATTAGGCACAAATCATGAGGGGGAAATGAAAGAAAGGGGCTTTTTAATTTTTTGATAATTTTTTATTTTGATAAAATTTAAAATTTATCAAGTGGCAGGGAGCATGGGACAGGAAGAGAGGCAGGACCAGGTGCTATGGGAGTGAGCGCTGAAGAAGGAAGAGAGGAAAAGCCTCCTCCCCAGAGCAGAAGGAACTTCCCTCGCTCGCTCCACTGCCCACCGCAAGGTTGCTTCTATGACAGGGGCCCTAAAGCTGGTGTGGCCTCCTGGCTCTGTGCTTTGGCTTTAACCTCGGCCCCTTCTCAGACCTGAGGTGGGCCGTTCCTGCTGGGGCTTGCCTTAACCTCTTCTGGCGGGTTCCCCAGCTCTTCTTCCCTTGTTAGGAGTTTTTCCTTGGATAAGAAGCAACAAAGGTCCACGTAATCATAGACCTTCCACTGACCAAAGTCAGAAAACCAGGAGAGCCCTGAGGGGAAGTCCATCCAACTGACTTCCCTTAACTGACCAACAGAAGAAAACTCTTCTAGATTCATTCAGCAAGAAAGTAGAGATTGGCAAAGTTCATCTTCCTAAAGCACTGGAATGATGGAAGGTGATACAGGAGAGGGTTCTTTCTTTCCTTTCCCGGAGAGATGGGCATAAAACATATCTGCATGGGCCACATTTGGGTTAAGCCATGAACATGGACTTCTCCATCATCTAGTGCATGAATCCTTTGAGATGTTTGGTAATTTAAATTAGGTTAAAAACTCTTTTCCTGAAGGGACAGTGGGGGCTAGAAGGGACTGGAGGGGAACAGACACAGCTGGAAATGGGCTATGGATTAAACACTGCATCAGTGTTACATGGCCTCATCTTCATCACTGTATCGTGGTTACGGAAGTGAGCTTGACCAAATGTTTGTGTGCCCCAAATTACGTATGTTGAAACTTCATCCCCAGTGTGATGTCTTAGGAGGTGAGGCCTTTTTTTTTTTTTTT